ATTGGGAAGGTGCCCATGTATATATGCATATATTTGTACTAAACATGAATGGACTAAATTCTCTCCTAAAAGGCAGAGATTTTCTGACTGGCAGAAGGTTGTTGGGGCAAGGTATGGGCTCTGGATCATGCTTCTCTTTGTCCCCTGGTAGTCCCTGGAGACAGCCCTCAAGTACTGCAACTACATGTTTACCACGGTCTTTGTACTGGAGGCTGTGCTGAAGCTGGTGGCATTTGGCCTGAGACGTTTCTTTAAGGACCGGTGAGTGACTGGGCTGGGTGGGTGCAGCAGTGTGGGGAAGCAGTCCTGGCCTCTTGAGAGACCTGGAGAAGCCAGAGGGGAACCAATAAGCACCTAGTCATTGATGGCCAGGGCCTCCCAGCGGCTGCCTATATCCCTGAGTAGGAAGTGCTTAGGTCTCACCTTAGGGTGCAGGGCGTTCCACCAGGCTCCCCTCAGCCTCCAAGCCTGCATGCTAATCTTCCTTTCCAGAGGGAACAAGTGAGGCTCAGAGAGATGATCAGTGGGTCCAAGGGAAAAGGTGGGCTCAAGATTGAGATTTAGGCTGGGCGCAGTGACACACACCTGTAAACCCAGCGGCTCGGAAGGCAGACACAGGGGAATCCCGAGTTCAAAGCCAGCATCAGCAATGGTGAGGCACTAAGCAGCTCAGTGAGGCTTCTGTCTCTAAATAAAACACAAAGTAGGCCTGGGGATGGGGCTCAGTGGTCGAGTGCCCCTGAGTTCAATCCCCAGGACCAGAAAAATAAAATAAAATAAGATTGAGATTTAGAAGTTGGAGCTCTATGCCTCTTACCCTGAAGGAGGCCAGAGATGTTTATTTAGCTTGGCTGACCCCTTGATGGGGGAGCAGAGGTCATGGGGGCATAGAGAGGGGACTGGACTCAGTGCATTTGGAGGCTGTTTGGGAAGGTGGCCACAGATCCCAGAGGGCCACAATAGGAGGGTGCAACCCTGAAGGCTCCCCAGCTACGGTGTGCCTGGACCAGAACGCTCCTCCCCCGACCCCCACTCCTGCCCCCTGCCTGTCGAGCAGGTGGAACCAGCTGGACCTGGCCATCGTGCTGCTGTCCGTCATGGGCATCACGCTGGAGGAGATTGAGATCAACGCCGCCCTGCCCATCAACCCCACCATCATCCGCATCATGCGGGTTCTGCGCATTGCCCGGGGTGAGGGGCAGCGGCTGCCAGGGCAGGGAACGGGGGGCAAGTCGGGGCAGGATGAGATGCCTCATTCCCAGGGGGAGTCTACAGCGGCCGGGTGACGTGAGGGATCCCTTTCAAGCAGAGCAGGAGTCGGGAAGCGCCCACCCCCTCGCACCTCTGTGCCCACCTCTGCCACCTCGTCACACCATGATCCCTGTGTCTGGTCTCAGACTGACAGAGCTCTCGTGGCTGCCTGGCATTTCTGCCAAGCTGGGCTGGGGACACTGAGTCCTCAGCATTCCTCTGATCCCCTTGCCTCTCCCCAGAGGTGGGGAGGGCGTGCAGAGACTCAGGAGGGACTCGAGTCCTCCTTCGCCCGAGGGGATGAGGGGACCAGGGTGCTCACGTTGGCTGCCTTTGCCTCCTCGGGGTTAATGACACGCTCCTTCCCACCTGCTCGGACCCTCGGGCTGTGCACACCCCAGACATGGCATCCAGGGGCAGCCACCGGCAGGGCAGGCTCAGCTTGCACGCTCCCCCACGTCCCACCCATCCCCGTTGCACACACCTGCACGTGCTGTGCACACTCGGGTCCCTTGGGGCTGGGCTGAGCCGCGGGCTGCGTGTCACCCACAGTGCTGAAGCTACTGAAGATGGCCACGGGGATGCGGGCCCTGCTGGACACCGTGGTGCAGGCTCTGCCCCAGGTGAGAGTCGCTCCAGGAGGAACCTGTGGGAGGCCACGCAGGGGAGGGGACTCTGAGGCTCACCTGGAAGGCATGGCCTGTGGTGTGGAGGGAGGGGTCAGAATGAGACCCTGGCCTGGGAGGGGGACCTTGAGCAGTCAGAAAAGTCCCTTGATCTGTGCCAGGCCCCACTGCCACCCCCTCCCCAGTGCCTGGGGCTCTGCTCAGGAGGCCTGGTCGCTGAGCCCCCGGGGCATTCACTGATTCATTAGGACTTACCCAGTCTCAAGGGCCTTTGGGGTCTTAAGACCAGCGGTGTAGACACAGCACACTCAAAATAAGAATGAAGACGGCCCAGGGAAGGTGGGGGCCTTGCTGGGGACGCCAGTGGGTTCTCTTCTCAAGTTTAGTGTGAGCTTCCTGGCGGCCTGGTTACAGAGGGAGGGTGACAGGCTCTCCTCCTGTCTGGTGGGAGAGGAAGGCATTCGCTCAGAGACGGGCTTCCCCCTCACACATGGGAGATGGCAGGGGTGGGGTGCAGAGCTTGGGGGTGTGCGGCAGGAAGTGAGCTGGAGCCACCAGGCCTGGGATCAAAGTGTGGGCGCCAGGCATGCGTCTGACCTTCTCCTGCCTCGGTCTCCTTGCCCGTGGAGTGGGGTGCTGGCAGTGCTGAGGCTGGGGGGCCGGGGCAGGTTTGCACACGGTGGCAGCTCGCCGAGCCCGAGCAGAGCCTGCTCCACACGGTGCGGGCTGAGCAGCCGGAGGTGGGAGCGGGTGTGGTGGTGGTGGGTGCCCAGCCTCCTGGCTCCCTGCTGCGCCCCTCTCCTGAGCTCTGACCCTGAGCACCGTGTCCTGGCCCCCAGTGCTGCGCTGGCGCGGGGCACGTGGAGGTCCGGAAGGGTCCAGCTTTCCGTAGGAGGCAGACGGTGGTCATTACAGCACTTTAGGAGAGCACATGACGAGTATAGTGTGTCCATGGGTCGGGGGGAGAGCTTGCCCACGACATCTGCTGTGTGGACAGTGGACATTTCCTCAGTGGTACGTGAAGCCTGGCGGAAAGGGGACCTTGACCCTTTCCGTGCAGAGGGAGGAGGCCTCAGGGAGGCTCCTCAGAGGAGGTGACCCAGGAGTTGGGCTTTGAGGCGTGAGGACGAGTCATTGAGCAAAGACAGAGGGAACAGGGTGTGCAAAGGTACCACGGGGTCCTTTCCCACAGGACTGAAGTCCCAGGTTCAAGATCGGCTGGGAGGGGAACCCCAGGCCAGGACAGCAGACCTTGGTTCTGAGGCAGTAAACTTGGACGTTATCCTGCAGGGACGGGGTGCCACAGGAGGGTCTGGGCATGGGAGGCCTTTTAGAAAGTTGCCCTGATGACTATGAGGAGATTGGAGGGGAGCTTGGAGGCAGGGAGGCTAGGGAGGAGGCTGCCCGGGCCATCCAGGCTTGGGGTGCTGGGGTGGAGGGAGAAGACTGATGGGAAGGTGAAGGGACCCTGCCTGGTTAAGGAGCCCCCAACCCTGGGCCTGAGCAGGGCAACAAGCTGAGCTCCGAGGGCCTCTGCCACGCCGAATCCTTCTCAGCTGCCAGGGCCTCCAGCTTGGCCCCGGAGGTGCACACTAAGTGCTTGTTTCATTAGTGAACGGAACGTGACTTAATGAGCCAGACGCCAGCTCGGAGAGCGGCTGGGAAGGAAACTGCTCTGGAGCCTTCGTGATCTGGGGCTCGCTTTCAGCAATTAGCAGGAACGCGCCTGATCCCACTCACCGGGCCTTAGATCGGCCCGGGAGGGCAGCAATTTCCAGGGCAGGGACAGATGGGCCTTACCTTATCGGTGGCTCCAGTGAAGGAGGTCTCAGGCTGGCGGATGGAACTGGGTTTGGAATCTGGGGCGTGTCCTCCTGCGAGAGCCGTGGGACGCCACGCTGGCTGGTCTCTAGTGTTCTGTGCCCACGGGCTGCGGGCCGTGAGGGTTGTCTGTTCCTCTCCGAGGCCCCGCGCTGGCCTGAGGAGCCACAGCGGACTTCACCCAGTCCTTAGGAGCAGGGTCTTCCCAGACCTGCAGAGGACAGTGCCAGGGCTCCCAGACCTGCAGAGGACAGTGCCAGGGCACACCTGTTACAGTAGGGCTGTCAGGATGTGTTCATTCCACCAGGGGGATCCGGGTGGGCTTCGCAAAAAGGTGGCCGAGGGGCGTGGCTGGGCGTGGCCTGCGGGTGGGCGTGGCTTGGGAGGACGGTTCAGGGATGCGAATGAGCCAGCCGGGTGTGGAAACAGGTGAAGACTTGGCTAGGTTTCATTATTCTGTGCCCTTGCTGTCCCACCCTTCCTCCAGGAGGTCGCGGGGGCAGCCATGGGCACACAGCTGGGCCTTTGCTGCACCCTCCCTGGCCGGGGCCGCCGCCCCTGCCCTCCCCTGCCCTCTGCCGCTGACCACTGGCCCCGCCTGCCTCTCCCTGCAGGTGGGCAACCTGGGCCTCCTCTTTATGCTGCTCTTCTTCATCTATGCTGCCCTGGGGGTGGAGCTCTTTGGGAAGCTGGGTGAGTGACCCCTGAGGCCGGCCGGGGTGGGGCTGGAGGAGGCCCTGGCAGCCTGGGGGAGCCTGAGCCACCCCTCCACTCTGTCACTGTACTGGGAGATGCCCCGGTGGGCGGAGCCTGAGCTTCTATGGGTGGCCCCTGGCCCACCTGTGCTCCTGGCCTGTGGTGGTCCCCTAGGCCCCAGCTGTCTGGTCCCCAGGGAACATGTCATCCCCTGCCCCTGGGCCAGTGTCCATCTTCAGCCAGGACCTCCCCAGCAAACAGAGGGGCCCAGGCAGGGCAGAGGGCAGCGTGGCACTGAGCTCAGCCCTTGGATCAGCCCGAGGTTAGCTCCAGAAAGTGGGTTCCCTGAGGGGCTGGCCCCTACCCCACTCATCCTCTTTCAGCCCCTGGGTTGGAGGAGAAGCCGGATGCTCCTGAACCTGAGCCCCAGTCTGCGTAGCACCTCCCTAGCCCGGTGTCTCTAGCTGTAGACAGTCTGCACGCACCGGGGGTCACGGTGGGGAATCTGGGAGGAAGCTGGGGGCCCCCTCAGGTTGGGCCGTGCAGGGGGCTCTGCCTGCGGGACAGGCTGAGCCCCTCTCTGCTTTCAGTCTGCAATGAGGAGAACCCTTGCGAGGGCATGAGCCGGCACGCCACCTTTGAGAACTTCGGCATGGCCTTCCTCACGCTCTTCCAGGTCTCCACGGGCGACAACTGGAACGGGATCATGAAGGTGCTTGTGGGCGGGCTGGGGAAGGAGGCTGGGGGGGCGTTCTGAACTGAGTGCAGGTGCCACTCCTGCTGGTCACTGCGCCCTCTTGCACACCCGGCGTCCTCTTGCACACAGGAGAGAAGCAGAGGGACCTGCCTAGGGCCCTGCGGCCCAGCAAGGTGGCTGAGGCCAGGATAGGTAGTGCCGTCCTCTAGGGGACGGGCCTCTGCAAGAGCCGGGCAGGAGGGTGGAACATGGGGAGGCACCATTTGTCACCCGATGACAGAGGTGAGGCCTTGGCCTCTTTGGGTGGAGACTGGCAGCTGAGTGTCCCTTTCTGCATCCCACATGGGTCTCTCTAGAATGACCCCAGCAAGTGAAAAGGACATCAGGGCGGCTGGGAGGAGGAGCAGCCCCCTCACAGGGGCCCCGGCAGGTGGCGAGACCTCCCCTGCTTTGTTGGTTGGGGGTTGAGGTGACCTAAGAGCCAGACGGCAGGGACAGACCCCCTAGAAGACCCCTGGATGTCCTGGTTGGGCCTGATGGTGGCCCTGGGAAGCAGGGGGTGGAGTGAGCAGGGAGGTGGCAGGGCCACTAGGGACCCAGCTGAAGCCGAGGCAGGCAGATGCCACCACAAGCCAGGTGGGGTGGGGGCCGTGAGGACCTGGGGGGGGTGTCGGACTCCTGGCTGTCACCTCACGGCTCCGCCCGCAGGACACGCTGCGGGACTGCACGCAGGAGGAGCACAGCTGCCTGAGCAGCCTGCAGTTCGTGTCGCCGCTGTACTTCGTCAGCTTCGTGCTCACCGCGCAGTTCGTGCTCATCAACGTGGTGGTGGCCGTGCTCATGAAACACCTGGACGACAGCAACAAGGAGGCGCAGGAGGACGCCGAGATGGACGCTGAGATCGAGCTGGAGATGGCACATGGCCTGGGCCCCAGCCCGCGGCCGCCCCCCAGCTCCCCAGGGGCCCTGGGCCGAGGGCCAGGGGGGGCGGGCGGCGGGGGTGACGCCGAGGGCCGCCTGTGCCGGCGCTGCTACTCCCCAGCCCAGGTGGGTGGCCGCCTCCGAGGGCGCCAGGGTCCCCAGGAGGCGGGCACTGTGGGCTGGGGGACAGTGGGGCTGAGGAGGCCTCCTACAGAGACCTCTGTCTTTTGGGGCCCCACCATGCTCAGATCCAAAAGGGGTGACCCTGTGACGAGGGGACAGGGTCCAGGCCACGGGCGCAGAGACCGGGAGGGCAGCTCTGCCCCACCCACCCGCAGTCCCGGGACCCGGTCGATAATCCCACCTGTCCCCACCCCGTCCCCGTCCGCCTAGGAGAACCTGTGGCTGGACAGCGTCTCTTTAATCATCAAGGACTCCTTGGAGGGGGAGCTGACCATCATCGACAACCTGTCCGGCTCCATCTTCCACCACTACGCCTCACCTGCCGGCTGCGAGAAGTGTCACCATGACCAACAGGAGGTAGCAGCAGCCAGGGAGGAGGCTGGTCCTCGTGTGGGTGCCTCGAGGCCTGTGGGGGTCCTGCTCTGGGCCCCAGAGCCACGTGGTCCTGGAGGCTGGGCAGGTAGCCTCTGCCCCCGTCCCCGAAGCTCCCTGTCTCTCTGGGGCGGGGGACACAGGGCTCTCGCTGGGGAGCCCCAGCCTCAGAGATCAGATCAGGTGAGATCAGTGGCCCCACGTTCCCAGGGTCTCTGGGCCCTGCCTGGGACACACTGAGTAGGAAGTCCATCCAGGCGACAGGAGCCGACCTGGCCCAGCCTCCACGGGCACTTGGAGGTGGGCTGCCAGGCCTGGCTCCCTTCAGAGGTGACCCCGTGTCACATCGTGCGTCACTGTGCCCAACAGGCCCCTAGACCTCTCTGAACACTGCCCTCCGTCCTCCCTGAGGCCCGTCACCGGGTGCTCTGCTTCCCAGGCCTGCTGCCCCCGCCACAGGTGACCAGGCGCCGTCTCTCCCGCAGGTGCAGCTGGCCGAGACGGAGGCCTTCTCCCTGAACTCGGACAAGTCCTCGTCCATCCTGCTGGGGGACGACCTGAGCCTCGAGGACCCCGCGGCCTGCCCGCCTGGCCCCAAAGACAGCAAGGTGAGCAGCCCCCAGGGCCCCCTGCACCCTGTGCTGCCCTCCGGCAGGATTTGGGTGCGCAGTGGCTGGGCTCAGGCAGGGTGCAGCCCAGTTAGTCGTCCTTGACTCCGAGAACAAGTCGTGGAACCTGGGGGTCCGAGTCCACCTGTCTTGAGGGGCATCCAGGTAGCTCTGGAGGAGCTTCTAGGCAGGGCCACCCTGGGCTGCGGGGCTGAGGAGTGCCGGAGCTCAGTGCTGTGGCCAGAAAGGAGGGTCATGCCCCCAATTCCAGATGCACAGACCGAGGCTCAGCAGAGGGAAGGGCCATCCACGGCCATGCGACAGGGAGGCTGCTGTGGCCTCTCCTCCTGTGCCCTTGCCTCCACTGCCCTTGGCTTGGCTTCTGCCCTGGGCCAGGGTCTGCACAGGCTCTTGGTTCCAGAGGATGAGGGGGACTCTGCTGCCCTCAAGGATCTAAGAGTCAAGAGGAGAGAAAACGGGGAACCACTGGTTGGGGTGTTGGAGGGGGCTGCCTGGAGGAGGGGCCCTTCCGCTGAGAGATGGGAAGGTGGCGCGGATTGCGGGTGGGGGAGGAGCGGTGGGGCCTTCCGGGCATCGAGGGCAGATGGAACCAGGGACAGAGCAGCAGGGCCATGAGGTGGCTGTGGCAGGCCCAGCCTCTGTCCCCCCTCCACTTTCCTGACCTGTCCACCTCCCTTTCCTGCAGGGTGAGCTGGACCCACTTGAGCCCACACGGGTCGGGGACCTGGGCGAGTGCTTCTTCCCCTTGTCCAACATGGCCATGTCCACGGGTGCAGAGAACTTCCTGTGTGAGATGGAGGCAATCCCCTTCAACCCTGTCCGGTCCTGGCTGAAACATGAGAGCAGCCAAGGTGAGGGATGGGGCCCCCAGCCCCCCCACCCCACCCCCCCGAGCCTGATCTTGGGCATCTGCTTCAGACCGAGGTGGTTGAGTTTTTCCTTGGTGTTTTTGCCCAGACTGTTATATTTATTCCAGAAAGAACCAGATGGATATCTGACAATGAGATAGACTCTGAGGTTTGATATAATTATGATAAAACATCAAGAGCCAAATGCTCCAGAGATGAGATGATAATTATAATAGGAGCTGGGCTAAGCTAATGCTGAGGTTCCTAGGAGCTGTGGTGAAAAGGGAAGCAGGTTGAGCACACAGCTCTCTTTGTTAAGCAGAAGGAAAGTCGCCTGATTATTGAGTTGTTTTGTAGAGGTAGGGGACTGAGCTTGCCTGTCCCTTGGGCTCATCTTTGCCTGTAGTCGTCTTGGAGGGTGACAGGTTCACAACACTTTCTGGGGAAGAGGGCAGAGAAAAGAAATCCAGCAGAAGAGAGACCCCCGACTCTGAGCCCACCCCCAAGGCCTCTTTTGAAATGTCTGCCCTGGGTGCCTCTGAGGTACTGGGGTAGGTGCTTCTCCAAGGACCCTCACTAAAGCTAATAGCTTCTCTGCTGGACATGGTGGCTGAGGTGCCGAGACCACCAGACTTCTTTTTTTTAATACTTACTTTTTAGTTGTAGGTGGACACCATATCTTTATTTTATTTTTGCGTGGTGCTGAGGATTGAACCCATGCCTTGTGCTTGCTGGGCAAGCGCTCTACCCCTGAGCCCCAGCCCCCACCAGACTTCTTGAAGTAAAAATCTGGGCATAGGGTCGGACCCAAGAGCCTTTTTGATTGAATGGAATCTCATCTCTTAGTGAACCATTTCTGTTGCCTTTTTCCTTAAACAATAAAGCCGTGTAGACTAGGAATCCCACCTGGGGACATTCAGGCTGTATGGCCATCTGGGTTGCCTACTTATATATTTCCAAATCCTGTGCCCACCCCATCCTGAAAGGTGTGGAGGGGACTGTGGGGAGGCTGCTGCTGCTCGTCCTCCCCAGCACACCTAAGCCCTGCCCTGGCCTCGGGCTCCCCAACCTGTGCCTCTCTGTCCATCCCCAGCACAGCTGACTGCCGGACCCTGCAGCTTCTGTTTGCTGGGCTCAGCCAGTGCAGGCCCCTGCCCAGAGCTGGCAAGGTCAGCCCTGACTGTTGTCCTAGAGGGCCAGGCCCCTGGGGTGTCAGGCCTGAGGGTAGCTACTGCTAGGGAGTCAGCACTTATGAATACTTGGTTCTGGGTGGAGACTCTGCCGCTGCTGCTTATTCAGGGCCTGCTGGATGCCTGCAGGTAGCACCTGGTGTGGTTTTCACAGGAAGAGACATGGTCAGGCCTTGAGCCTGGTCTGCTTGGCTCCTAAAGCTGTGGCTCTCTCAGTACCTGTCCTCCAGGAGTCACTCTGGCTGGCTCAGTGCTTCCTGCCGTCACAGTTGGCTGACTGAGGCTCAGAGAGCAGGACTCGCTGTGGCCCTTCCCTGGCAACCCCGTCAGAGCCTGCTCAGCGCCCAGCCTTCAGGGCCACCTGCAGCCTGAGCCTGCCCCAGCTCTGTCTCTTTTCTCCTCGGCAGCGCCCCCCACCCCCTATTCCCCAGATGCCTCCAGCCCACTGCTGACCATGCCTGCCGAGTTCTTCCACCCGGCTGTGTCTGCCAGCCAGAAAGC